TTTTCTAGGATAACTTACTGTATTACATAAAATTTAAAGACAGTGCTTTCAGATGGAAAAGTCACAGTTTTATCCATTGCGTTAAACTATTGCCTACAGCCACTCTCAGAAAAAAGTTCGAATTTATGTAGGTTGTATCTAAGTGTAGAATCATATATAAAAACTCACGTGAAAAAAAAAAACATTTATTGATACTCGTGTCTTACGTGTGACGCTACAAATCCTAAAGTACATAAAAATATTTTTTTTGTGACCGTTCCTGTAAAAGAATTTGCTTTCCTTAGCCCCTCTTTCCGCACTAGCATCTGTCATAAGTTTTTTTTCAAGTAACATTGGTTTTAAAAAAATCTCATCGATTTGATGCTTTTTGAAAAAATCGTTCAAAAATCAGTTAGAGAAATCGATAATTGTTTATTTATCAGAAAAATACCCTGATGATCAGCAGAGAATTTTATTTTCTATAACATAGTTCGATTTATTACTATCTTAATTAACATTTCAAGAATAAAATTTCAGATGAAATTTGATGGGATCAAAAGCAAGCTAAGAGCCAACAGCCCACTATACAATTAGTTTATTGGTTTTGAACACGTCTACGTTGTCTTAAAGGTTGTTTCCATATCCAAGCGTTTTTAGCACTTAACAATTTATCCAGTATACTCGAAGTGTGAGTGATACGGCTCTATGGCTGTATTCAACTATTTGAATATTCCTAAAAAGCAGTCTCTCTCTACCCGTCTTTCCATTGTTTCCATCATTTTTAGGTATTGAAGACAGTTTTGCAATTCAATAACAAAAAAAAAAAAAAGAAAATAAAAAAATGAAAATAATTTAAATGTTCACAGTATACTTTAAAAAGTGAATCAACTTGTTCAAAAAACCATAATAACTTTCATAAGATTCGAATTCGCCGTAACAGTCATTATCGGCGATCTGCCGATAAGGAGATTTCAGCAGAGTTTTCTATTTAAAAGCATTTTGCTTGTATATATGACATTACCGCATAGTCTAGTGGGTCGGACGCCCGGCTATCAATCGCATCACCCAGCCCATCGATTCCTGGTTGAGGGTACCCCATAATCTGGACCTTAGATATATATGCGTCATCCACGATACACTGATGTGAATTTACGTTTTTGTGTGAGGGAAGCTATATTCTGCTTGCATTTGCGGCCTTTTTTTGTTTGTAGAAATTCCTTTTTCGTGTTCTCGTTTTTCCTTCAAATTGAGTTTACTTTTATTGTAAATGCCTTCGTAGGACCCATATTCTACTTCCTGGTATACATTTTTTTCATCGTCAAGAATAATCGAAACGATTGGCAAATATGTGCTTCCTTGTCCGTCATTAGTCCGTGTTTTGACAACACGGCTATTGTCTGCAAAAACTAAGCTTATAAACATTTCAAAATATTTTTTTTTAAAGTATTGAAAAAATGAATAATTTTGAAATGTATTAAAAAATGACAGCATTAAAAAAATACTTGCGAGACATTGTTAATTTAAAAGACCCTACGGCCCATAATGTGGTCGATGGGCGTTTGAATCTATGGAAGAAATAATTTCATTTATGTATCTGTAGCTGAATAATTGCATAGGGTTTTCCGGAATTGACGAAAGAGATCAGTTTTTGACTCTAAAAGCAGCCAATCTGTTTGTTTTATTAAAAAGATGATTAAACTTTTGATTTATTTATTCTCCATATATTTTGTGAATAAATTTACAAAATATGGATTTAAAGGGTGCCGAATAACTCAGATCAAATGCTCGCCTGTATTGAAAGCCGATCACCGACCTTGAATTTTTAATTTTGAAAATTCCAACAATACTTTAAGAATGGATGAAATATTGCTGCATTGATTAAGAATCGTACACAAATTAATAACAAGTGCCGTTTAAAGGTTTGTCTAGGTATCATAAACCGAATATTCATAAACAGAAATAATTTTCTCAATTTTTCGGGGGGAATGCTAAATTTAATGAAACTTCCTCATATGACCGAAACGCAAAGTGGAGGTTTGCTTATATTTTTCATCTTTTTTTCACCCATGCAGCATCCAACCATCTGTAACAATACATGAGAGAATATTTCAGTGTCTTTGACATTGATAACACTTTACGGAAATTTGTTGTTGTTGTTGTTGTTGTTGTTTGCTCAAAAAAGGGCGTTAATGTTTTGCTTAGTATCTAATACACCACCAGCTAACGATTAAATTTGTTTTGTTTGCATTATCAGCAAAATTCTGCATGTGTTTACAATAAATGAAGTAAGAACAAAAAAAAAAAAAAAAAAAAAAAAAAAGAAGAGAAACGTTTATTGAAATTACTGTTCAATCAAGTTGAAAATATTGTCTATTTAATTCCGATTTTATGAATCAGCAAATAAGATTAAATTGACCATAATAAAATGATATACATACGCATATTATATACATCTACATATATTTTTGTTTACAGTTAACACGCTTTTTACATGGATATGAAGTTACACGAATTAAAAAAAATAATTATCCTTTTTTCATTTGAGACGATTTCTAAGTCATAGTCATCTTAGAGTAGGTTAAATTTATGAGCATGCGTGTAACATTCATGTTAGAAGGAAGACTTGAGACGCGTCCACCTGTTATTAGGTCGGATAAAGCCTGTCCATTCATTGGTATGTCTGTCGCTTTGTCAGTCCCACTTCTTTGTTCGCTTCTTTTATTTCTATCCATCTGACTTTTTCATCAAACTACATGCCGCAATTTTTATTATAGGTACACTTTGGAATAAGGATGAACGCTACTTTAAATGTATTAGACCGGATCAGTTTTATGAAGATCTCTCACACAATGCCCTTTTCGGAGAAAGTTGTTATATGAAAAAAAAATGCCATATTTAATATTGATTGACAACAATTTCTGTGGTTAACAGTGTTTTGACATGTTAGACAGGTGTCGCGCATTTAGATCGCATAGGATGATTTTTATAACTGCGCCCAATATCAATATATTTTGCGAAGAATGACAGTGAATAGTTTCTTATGTAATGTAAATGGGCATGGAATAGCTATTGATTTAAAAATTTACTGAAGTAAATATTTGGACCCGATGAGGCAACCGTTCGAAACTATTTTATAACTATGTAATAGTTTTCTGGAAGATCTCTCGCAGAGTAAGGGAATATAATTTTTAGTATTTCATGTAAAAAATAAATGAAGAATAGTATAAGACGAGAAGTGATTTAAGATATTTAACATTAAAGCTACCGAATGGAAAAATTTCACTATTTGTAGCTTTCGAGCTTCAAAAAAATGCTTATAAAACTTGGTGACTTTTATTCATATGAGAAGAGTGTTTCGCTTTTATAATAAATTATTCTCTATATGATCTATTCCTACAGATGTCGCACCCACATACTTATGGGTATATTAGACCCATATGCCGTGGTCAAAAAAATGAAGATGACACTTTGAAATACGTCATAAATATTCTTAGATCAATTAAAATTCCAACGTCATATAACTATGCGCTCACAGTGGATGTTAGATTGGAACGCTATTGAAAAAACGGAAAGTTTTTACCGTGAAGATATTTTTAGGAAACTGATTGGCAATCATTTTATGCCTACAGTGAACTGTTACGTTTCCCTATAAAACATGCAAGTGAATGTGTGTACTTTATACAAAATCAATCAATAAATTTGCATATGTATGTATAATTCGTATGTATAATTCGGAACTTCTACATTGTTCCGAAATTTTTGTTCAAATGGCCTTTAAATTTAATTACTTGTTAGTTAATTTAAATTAAATAATAATAAGCCTTTTATTTAATTTTAGCGTTTTTGCTTACACGAATTTATGAGAGATGTAGTATTTACCGCGTGAAAAGAGAGTTGGGTGTATTTATACTTTATACACTAAGTAACTGAATAGTTTAAAGTGAGTTAAATTTCGCTAACGGACTATAAAGTTGTTTGTACACTGCTGTAAAATGGGTTTTTTTTGTTTTTCTTGGAAGGAGAGGATGTCTTTTGCCGGTCGCTATGACGAGATGAAGAAGTGAAAGGAAAAAACAACCATTAAAAAAAATTGCAATTTTTAAGTAAACCGCAAATAACAATTAGTCGGAAAGCAAAGTAAAAAAAAAAAAAAACGAAAATTAAAAAGTGCACACAATGACAATGACAATGACTTTATGTAACCAAATGAAAGATCAAAGTCTTCGAAAAATCTTTGTTATGTTAAATTTATCATTCATCAGGATAATAGTAATAATAATAAAAAAAAAAAGGAAAACGTCGATAACACAATTTTTTGTTGTAGATTTTTCTATATTCAATCATCTGACGAAAAATATTTCTTTCCATTGTTACAAAGTTTGCTATTGGTTGCAGCAAATTTAATTCAGGTCCATTATGCACGTATGGTATGCAAAGAAAACGAATAGAATACGAAAAGATTGCATTGAGAAAAGATAATCCAAATTTGTTTGTGTAAGCAATTATCTGATAATCCGATTTTTTACGGATTAATGGTAATAACTCTACCATCATGATATCGAGGAACGGCAAATTGAACACTTTTACCGGCACATCAGCTTTTTAGACGGAACTGCTATTCAGACGGAAAACAGGAAAAAGTTTAGTCGAAAAAGAACGGAATCACCAAAATACAGCATTAACCATCTGGTCAGTATTAAACGAACACAGTTTGGTCCTGACGTTAAGTTAAACTTAATCACGATAGACATGATGCGATGCAGGAGGCCCAACCAAAACGACTACTGCAGGAGAGTTTATGAAAAAATGGCACTAAAAGTTCCAGGCGAACGCCAACTCAGTCATTTCATTTTTATAGGGTTTTCTTTAATTTTTTGTGAAATTAGTACAACTTTTCTCTACAAATAATAATAGTTTTCCGTTTAGTATTATTGTGTTATTCAGTGTGTATGGTGGCGCTAATTATGAAGCGTTCCAAATTGCATTTCCGACATTCATTGCTTCTCTTGTTTCATTTGCAGAGATCTGCTGTCAAAATCCATCGAACACTCTTACTCGAAGCTTGTGGTGGTGGTGCTGCTCCATCCTATTCCAATTGTCAGCTTCAAAGTAGTGATGTTGATGTCAATAACAAAGAACGGCCGGAAAGACGAACAAAGGTCGAACACAATGAGTTGCAACACTTATTGGACGAAAGCCAGGCTCAAGCTCTCAAAGGACTTTCAAACATCTTAACAATTGATAACTCAACGGTTTATTGGCGTTTACATGCGACGGGAAATATCCAAAAGGAGGGAATCGACGGAAAATGTCATCCCGAACCGTTTCAAAATTGCGGTTTCATTGCGTGCCAGGCAAAAAAACAAAAGAAAAGAGTTTTCTGTAGCGTATTGTGACCGATGATGAAAAGTAAATCTCCTACGATAATCTCCAGCGCAAAAAGTCAATGATTAGTTTAGGAGAGCCATTCACATCGACACCCAAGCAGAATATTCAAGTTTTGCTCCGTATATTGTGAAATAAGCAAGGTGTAGGGTATTACGAGTTGCTAAAGCCAAATGAAACTGTTACTGCAGCTGTCTACCGGCGTCAGTTGAATAAATTGAGTGATGTATGGTTGCAAAAAAAACCAGAAATAGCGGTTAGCCGACACAAAGTCATCCTCTTGCATGGCAAGGCGCGGCGACACGTTGCAAGAGTTGTCAAGGATGCACGGTCGCAGCTGAAAAGAGAAGCTCTGCCGCACCTAGCGTATTCACTGGTCATAGCACCTTCTGATTACCACTCGTTCAAATCAATGCAGCATGGCTAGCAAGTGGTTTCAAAATGCTAAAGAAGTGCGAAAATGGCTCGATGAGTGGATCGCTGCGAAACCAATATCGTTCTTTCACGGACACGGTATCGCCGTGTAGATGAAGATGGAAAATATATTTACCTATATCTATTGTACCAATTCAATGGAGTTGAAAAATAATCAAAATACATGGAACATCGTGTTACTTATATTATTTATATTATTACTAACTCAAGGTTTTGTCCATATTCCATTACATATTCTTTTATGGGAATCGATTATGTGCTCAGTTTTGCTATATAGAAAAATTATCTTCATTCAAAATGTACAAAATGTTTTTTACAAAAAAATTCTCATTCTTTGTCGATTGTATATATATTACATACAACGTTTAGGAAGTTTGAAATAAAGCAAAACGTTCATCACTACTACATGGAGGAGGGCAAGTTCAAGTAAAATTAAACTAAAGAAAAAGGGAGGTATATGAAAAAGATTTTGATTTATTAGACACGACGTTATACATACGTACACACGTACGCAGGTATACGCATACTTAGGAAAATATTTGCTTCGTAAAGTCGCACAATTATTACTGTTGCGAAAAAAGTGAAGATGAAAGAGGGTCCTCGGAAGTAGGCCAGGATTATAGCTCAGCTTCCAATAAAAAACATTTTAAAATATTGAAAGGGCAATGCTTCCGCCCAACAATCTGTTGCAATTACTATTTAACTTTTTCCGTATGTCTCGGTCGAGTCTTTTTTTATTATTATTTTGTTTTTTTTAATGATTATATTTTGAAAAGCTAAAAGAAGAAAAACTGAAGAAAGTTAACCTCAATAGTTGTTCTCGTTGTGTTTGGTCACATGAAAACCATGATGCCAACAAGTTTTCAAAAATCCATTTACTTAATGGTTATAATAAATTTTATTTCAAATTGTAAAACTTGTAACTTGGTGCATATTGTTGTTGGTTTGTTTTACAAAAACAAACATTAAATAGCAAAAAAAAAAAAAGAAGAAAACAAAAAAAAAAGCAGGAAAAAATAGAAGCTGAAGTGAGAAAGAAAGAAAGAGAAAGAGAGAGAAAGGTAAATTGGAATCACATGCTCGTAAGGAGGTGTGCGGATGCAATGCGATTGCCACTCTTATGGCACTGTCGTCATTTTAAAAGTCAACTGAAATGATCATTTTATTTTCTTTCAGCCTGGCTCGTTTGTTACTAATGTTACTTTAAATACTCGGTGTGCATTCGTTTGTCTGCTTGCCAGAGCGTAGGACCTTAAACAACTTTCTAACTGTTTCACTAATAAATGTATGACACCAACTATATGTAAGCATCGTGCATTTACGCACACATACCCACATGCCATATGCCGAAAAATAAGAGAAATTGTAATTACTTAAAGTTCCTTAGAGGCTGGAAATCCTTAAGAAATTCTTAGGTATAAAATTTTCATTTAGAACTAACTTATTTTCCTTCAAAACAAAAATTCATACAAAAGTGAAAAATGTTCAACTATAACTTATAGTACTCGTGTATAAAAAATCTAACCAGTTTTCTTCTGGTCTCGAAAGCAAATAAATAAATTTTCTTACCAAAAATAGAAATGTTTTAATACGCTTTTCTTCAAATAAGGTCCACGTAGTATATAAACCTTGGAGTACCAGAGGTATAGGCAAGGTAAGGTAAGGTAAGGTGAAAAAAACTTGCTTTTTTTTTTTGTTAAAGTCAATGAAAACTCTCACTTCCTATGGCTGTCATCATAAATTTAGTCGTGGTGATGTTGAACTGTAACGTTAGTCTCTCTTTTCTTTCGCTATTTTATCTATGCTATAAGGATTTGTGTGTGTATATATATATATATATATATATATATGTGTGTGTGTATGTGTGTGTGTTAGTGTTATTTTATATAATACATATTCTAGCCCCTTAAGCCTAACGTATGGTGTTACACAAAAGATGGATTGTTATCGCTTAGGATAACAATGTCAGAGTTTGTACTGTTGTTGTTGTTGTTGTTGTTGTACAATAGGTGCTACAAGACATAATATTCATGCCTTGGTGAAGGTTGCAAAATAATCGTAATTAGATTACGTTAAATATGCGCACATACTAATACAGGTTTCTATAAACATACCAAAAAATGTGTGTGGAAAAGTTGTTCTAAAATCGGGGCCGGTTTTATTTAAAGGTTAACAGCTTTGAAAGAGGATAGAAAAGAATAAAATTTGTATAAAATATCTAGATATAGCAACACTTTAGATAGAATAATGATGGCACTTGCAAGTGCTAGTGTAACAATAAGCATTAATTGCATTTTTATGAATTTGTAGCTTGTAATGCTTTTTAAGAGAATTAATAACATTTCAAAATTTTTGAAGTTTGCATGCGTATATGCAAACAAAATATATAATAATTTTCAAGTAAAGGAAAAAGGAATTTTCGAAAATGATGTACGCTTTGGGTCTTTGGCGAGCCTTTGATGAAAATTACATCACATTGACGTTTGAAGACAGCAAAGTATTTTCTTTATTGTAGTGACATCAATTAGCCGGCCAGAGCGACTATTGCGTTGATATTTTAAACGACGTTAAGAAGTCTCCAAAAAGTTTCTACAGAATTTCGGGGCATCATACTCCGTAAATTTTACAGCCCATTTTTGTCCCTTTTAAAGCCGCGGTTTTATAATTTGAAAGTTGTCTGAACTTTTGCTACTATAATCTACTACTAATAATGGACGGACGGACAGATGGGGGTGCTTCAATCGGCCGGGAATATCCTTTTATTCGTAGTCTTGGATATTACATATCATACATAAAAAACATTCTATATATTTTAGGTGCACAAATATGAAATATTAACTTGAGAAGAAGACGGCAGCATTAAAGTTTGATATACCATACATAACATTTTGTTGCGCGGTCTTCAACTTTCAAATGCGCATAAATGAGAAGTTTAAAAAATGCTTGTATTTGGTGCTATTCAATATTCCGATATTGTGCCCAAAATAAAGAGCGTTGGGGAATTCATTTTGCGAAGAGGTCATGGGTAGATTCACGCCCATAATCTATTTCAATCTTAAGATCGAAAACTTTTGGTGGGGTTTAATATCAAAACCTATCAAAACCATTAATCGATTTAAACCATTCGTTTTTAAAACACAACCAAGATACCAAGATTGGTTCTAGGCGAATGCTCCATCCCATAGTGCAAAACTAGTTTGCAACAAATTGAAAGCTCTTCCATGAGAAGCGCTATCTCGTGGAGTCTCGCTACCAAACTTGGCGTTCACCGATTACCACTTGTATGTACTGATCGACTTACTGCGCTTGCTTCCTTCGAAGATTTGAAAGCGAAAGATTTTTAACAAGTGGTGTCATTTTAAGCTTTACCAATATTTTAAATTTTTCAAATATCTTCGTTGTACATGCGCTGGCTGAACGAAATCATGATTTTTTAAATAAACTATTTTGGAGTGATCAGACCTATTTTGATCTGTTTGGGTACGTAAATAGGAAAAATTGTCATATCTTCGTCTCTGAAAAACCAAAAAAAGGTCAAAAAACTTCTCTCATACCATAATGCCTTACAATCTGGTGTCGTTTTTGGTTACGCGGAATAATTTAGTTAAAATTTTTCGAAAACGCTGCTAGTACGATCCTTATAGTGTATGGATGCGTTCACAGACGTTGTTTTTTTAGCCTGGAGTTGATGCTGTGGATGTGGGCGTCGGGTATTCTCAGCAATGGGGAATCAGTTGTTATACAGCTCGTCAACCAATGGCTGAATTGCGGGATTGATTTAAAATATGTAAAAATCGCGACTAACAAGTCAATGTTCCATGATTAGAATCTCAGTGTGGTAGAGGTTACTTTGGTCGTAGTTAGAGTGAGTGCGCAGTTGGTAAAAGAGTAACTAGACTGCAGCCATGTTACACGAATAGAAGACATCCCCTAAATGACTAATCATATTAGAAAAAGAAAAACATAAACGAGTGAAAAATGCTTCTGCTATTAACATTCAAATATGCGCTTACAAGGTAGGCATGTAGTAAAAATTCCCAATTAATTGTAAATATTCAGTCGATTTCGCTCTGTGGTTATATTCACTTATGTTCTGTTTATCTAAACTTTCGTCCATTGTCTAGTGATGGGCAACTCACGGTAGCAAGGATTCAAGTAATATAGAAAATTGGAACAATCAATTCACAATACCTTAAATTCATTCTCAAATTGGAGTAATTATAGATCTACCAGGGTCCACAGCCACAACAAAAAGTGAATAGAATGGAAATCGAATACAACAATTACGTTAGCATCTGTTCTGTCTTTGGATAGGAGGTAACATACCTGTCACAGCCGTCATCGTTGTGTTTGAATAATACTTAACCTATGCTTACTATCCTTATAAATACGTAAATACTCTTAACCCTTAGAAATGGGCGCTAAGCGGGGCTTTGGCTCTAAGAATATATTGCTTTGAAGTCTAGCTCTTCATAGTAATTACTTTAAAGAGAACACTATAACTTCTTCGATTACCTAATATAGGTA